ACCACCACTACCACTACCACTACTGCCACTACAACGACGGCTGGTTTTTCACTTATAGCTGAGCTTTTGGTTCATTCTTTTGCTGCTTCAGCTGCTATGATACCTACGAAGCATTTTGCACACTCTGTGCCATGTCTACCCTGCCCGTCTGCAACATTTCCGCTGCTCGTGTTCTGCAGGACTTGAACAGGAAATTCGACCTCCAAGGCAGCAAAGCAGGGAGTGCCTTCGTCTCCGCTTGGCCCCGGTTGATCTTTTTCATAAACGAACTTTTTATAGATCCTTATGAGAGAGCGTATATACCTTATGCAATATTCTTCAAACAGGGGGCATTTGCCTCTCGGTGTGTGGAGATGATCTGGACTTCCGGGTGCTGATGGTTCTGACATGCCATTTGCAGCCCTCCAGAAACAGAGTCGCAGCATGATGAGCAGTCAGGCTTAACGGCCATGGGTCTCTGTAGATCACGGGCCTTTGCTGCCAGGCATTCGCCACGGACGCTGCCGTCTTTCATGTTATAAGAGAAGGTCCAGGTTTCGTTGCATATTTCTGCACCAACTCTCATCAGCTTACTCCTCTTTCGGCACGTAGGGCTGGGTTTTGGGTCGAGGGTTTTGCGGCCTTGTGCTGTTTGGAAATGCACACCCTGCTCTGCGTGCGGCTAGCCGTGATCTCGAGCTCCCAAGTCTCGCGTTAGGGCTCAAGCTTTCCCGGCGGCTCCAAGAATAAGAATCAGCAAGTTTGGAGCATTGCGGGGTCGGAAACCTTCAAGCTGTAGTCAGCAGGGAGACCTAAACAAGCCTCTATACTGTAAGCTGTACATAATCCTCCATCTTTGAATGTGGAGACGTTCCCCACCGCGCGCTGCATGCAGGCTGGGCCATCTTGTCCAGGCGACCTTTCATCACTATGGATGGGCGCTTGTGTCGCAAAAGAGTCCGCTGTGCTTGCAATAGGGTTTCCATGGGGTCCCCCCTGAGAGAGTCCATGGCTTGAAACTGTGTAGACTCAAGTCCAAGAGGGAGGATGTGATTGCAGCGGTAGCGGCAGCAAGGCGAAGTCGTGTACGTACTCGTATTCGTAGGCGTCTTCGTCAATAAGAAGTCATCGTCATGGTCCCTTGTGACACCAGCAGCATCCACATTCCATGTGCTATGTCTGCGATTGGATTAGATTTGTTCTTCCTGGTCGTCGCCTCACAGGCGTCGGGTTCAATTTCACAGGCAACACAGAAGCCAAATTTTGTGTTTGAGCTTGTGAAGAACACCGTGAACCTAAACGCTTACCGCCTCAACTGCAAGCCTTCTGTACCCTGAATTTCCTGAACCCTCGTAGCTGCATGGCTGTTTGGCATTGTTTGAATCTCGCATTGGCTCTTGCTTTCTTCGGCCTGTGCAAGTTGTGTAGGTCTGCAACAACCAGCCATTACCCTGCCTAGACTCATGCATGCCCAATGTCCTATGCGTTATGAAAGACTTGCAGACTTATGCATGATTTTGAACATCGATGTCATGAGCTTAAAGCTCGGTTTTGTGAGTCCGTTCCACTGGCGAGGCCTTCCCATCGGAGCTCAGGCAGACAGCGTCCCTGCAAAGCTGTAGCCTCTTTAGCCCATGCGCAGTTTACGCAAGCCATGGCCTCCAGCGCTGTGTTTGGGCGCTTCTTGGCGGCAACTTTGATCCCTGCATCCCTAAAGCCTAAAGCCTTGCCCTAGGCAAGTACCGAAGCAAACCCGTCTGAGACTCTGCAAAGCACCTGAAGCTGGATCTGAAGGTCCTAGTCTTGGGGTTCCAGCTCCTTTCCTGGGCCTTTGTGCAGCCCAGCGCCGTGAGGACCGGGAGGCTAATCTCTTTGGGCTTCCAACAGTCCGGCATTCGGTCTTCAGTGCTTGTAAGGTCCAGTTTCGAGTGTCCAGTCCGCGCCGGATTTATCCGACAGCCATAGCCTTGAGAATGCTGTTATCCGGCTTTGCCCTTTTGGGTTTGGCTTGTTGATAAAAGGTTGTGCAGGGTCAGGATCTTCAGGGGCCGGGAGCAATGGAGACTTACAAGTTATAAAGCCAGCATCTAAACGTTGGTAGGATCCTCAGTAGGAGGACCCCAGCAAGGGGACCTGTAAGAAACCTGTGTATTCGCCGTCCAGCTGGCATCTCAAAAGACTAAAATTGACTAAAAACTCAGGGCTCCAATTGCTCACTGCTTAATGTCGGGGTTTCAGACACTTCTAGGCCCTTGTGAAAAGATCGTTATGACGAGGATCCTACTACTTAGGGTACATATTGAGCGTCAGTCATTTCTGGTCTTTCGAGCCCTTGGTGTTTACAGGTGTTGTGGGGTATTGCAAGGATACATAGTCGCAAAGGGGTTCGGAGATGTACATGTGAGCATGCTATCAAGTACCTGAACGACCCTGCAAGAAATCTTTCCAGCCCTACTGCAAGGAGGAGACCTTGGCATGTCCTCCGTCGCAGCCAAGGCTTCGCAATTAACGGCTGAGGATTCAGGGTTTCTCGCGCTGAGAGGGGTAGGATTGACAGCTTGGGTTTTTGGAGAGGTTGGAGCCGGGATGTAGGGTTTCGGCTCGTTAGTCGGAGTGGTGAGCCATTGTGTTTCCGATGGGGTCGACGGATTCAGAAATGATAGCCTGACTGTGTCTTCGAAGAGGGTCACCTGTTCGCGTGCAGGTCTAGGACTTCCTGTTCTTGAGCATCGAGGGCGTAGGGTATATGCAGCAACGAAAGTTCCTACTAGGTATTTCTAGTGTTGGCAGCAAATGGGCAACGCTATTGTTCGTGGACCATGACAAAAACCGAAGCATTCCATACTTACTGCCAGGCTCCGTCATTATTGACCCGTCTCGAACCTCAAGGAACCCTTCGAATCCCCTCAAACCCTGAACCGTCGACCCTGAGCCCCAAAACCCTCGAGCTTGTCAGCAGGAGGTCAGTAGGACGCTCACCCACAGAGCTTGCCCTTTAATTGAGGTATCTACGCTGGGCATGCCCTAACACTGTGGAGGGTGCTTTACTCATCTTTGCCCTGAATTTGCAGAGTCGTTAATTGATGGCTACCGTGCTCTTTGGACAGGGGAAGAGGTCGATCCAGTAGACACGGTGGAAGCCGATGCAGACGAGGACCCATGGGAGGGACAGTATATGGGACCTCCAGTCGGGTCCATGGGCTTTTGGGCCGACCCGTCGGGTTGAGGTTTACGCTAGGGCTCCAGAAAAGTTTTCCGAAAGTTGGTGACTGTTGAACCCCTGAAAGGCAAAAAGAAGGCCCGACCCCAGTCAATGGCATAGTGGTAGCGGTTGAAAACTGTAGCGGCCATCTCTTATTTCAGCAGGCTCCGTGAAAGTTTAATATCGGCATTGCTAACATCCAAGAAACTACAATTACAATATTTTATAAACTTTACAAGCCTCCAGGCCTCTGAACGTGTAATGTGCATGTCTCACAGTTCCAGTTCAAGAACGCCAAACACATGTAAACCTGAACACTGAAACCTCGCACCCCAAGCACCAAAGCCTTAAACTGTTCAAGCCCACAGCGCCCCAATGGCCCGAAGCTCCAAACCAAGCCCTCGCCTCCCTGAAACCCTTACTTAGTCCTCAAGCCAGTCTCCAACATCAAGTTTATGTTTGTATACCCGTCCATCTACCTGTCGATCAATCTATCGATAGATCTGTCTACCTATCCTACAGCCCAAAAGCCTTAAAGTCTTAAAGCCATCACAAGCCCAAGAGCTCTTTGCAGGAGGCCGCGGCGTCACAGAATATCTAGATGAGCCGAAATAGCACCCTGCAACATGGTACTTGTCTAATGCACCTAAAGTGCAGAAAAACTGTGAATAGCAAAACTCATGTATGTGATACACTACACACATAGTCAGATAGATACATGTAGAAACACAGAAACACAAATTCACATAATATAGGTATATATATATGCACAACCATACAAACACAGATATACATACATATGTATATATAAATATAAATATATATATAGGAGTATAGGTCAAGTATAGGTCTAGGTATTGGTGAAGATATGGGTATAGACTTATACATATCTACATACGTACATGTGCACGTATGCCTGCATTCATGCATGCATGTATGTATGTATGTGTATGTCTGCGTGTAAGTAAGTAAGTAAGTAAGTAAGTAAGTAAGTAAGTAAGTAAGTAAGTAAGTAAGTAAGCAAGCAAGCAAGCAAGCAAGTAAGTAAGTAAGTAAGTAAGTATGTAAGTATG